TGTAGACCAGGCTGGTCTCGAACTCACAGAGATCCACCTGCCTCTGCCTCCCGAGTACTGGGATTAAAGGCATGCACCACCATCGCCCGGCCTTAAGTGTATTCTTACAGTATAATTTCTGGTATCACCTTAGAAACTTGTTGTGTGGATAAACAATATATTTAAACAGTTTCCTATCTATTGATTTTTTTCATGTCCCCATTCTTTAAAAATTAGCACTCCAAATGAATATCTTTGTAGCCAAAACACTTCACATATAAAAAGTGTTTTTTGGGATTTTTTTTTTTTAATGTAGTGTCTGACTGTAGGGGTGTGTACATTTGAAGACTTCAGATAGCATGTTCACTGGTGAAGATGTAGCTCTTAGTTCTCTCCAACCAGACCATGACTTTTTCTCTAAATGCTGAAACCACTTAAAAAGTGTTTCAGATCATAATGTTAAACAGGAAAACATTACTGTTTGTTTGTTTGTTTGTTTTTCAAAACATTACTGTGTGTTTGTTTGTTTTTCAGAAGACAGTATAGCAGGAAACCCTGAATAGTGTGGTCTCCTGCAGCCTGGGAAGAGCATGAACAGAGGAATGGACATTCCACTGCAGTATGGTGTCCCAGTCCCAGGTGTTGATCGTAAGGCACGAGATTGTGGAGCTGGAAGAGACATGAGGTATGGAAGACTCCTTGATGCTGTTGGCAAACAGGGTGTTTTGTTCCATGTAGATTTGCTAGTGACAGTTTTCTTTGGTGACACTGAAGACGAGTGACTGAAGGGTAGGCCCTGTTCCCAGCAGTAATGTTACAGGCCCCAAGACCTCAGCACAACTGATGCTGTGAGGGAAATGCCATTCCGACCTTGGAACCTGGTGTGTAGGCAGCGACACCTGACAGAGTTAGAGCAAAGACCTAATCCATCGAAGTCCACAGTACATCCCTAGATGGGATGTACTTCTTGGCCTCTGGCTAATTGGAGTTTGGGGTGTGTCAGCTCAGGATGTGATTTTTGTAGTTAAAAGCCCACTCTGAGAAAGGCTCAGGACTACACTCTGGTCCTGAAAACCCAGTGCAATCTGTATCAGGCTAATAAAGACTTCTGTGGCTTGACTCTGTCCAAGTAGTCTTCTTTGGTGGATACCTCACAATAATAGATGGCCATTTGTCTTTATCTTACAGGTTCTTTGCAGTATAGTAGAGCTTCCAGTTGTATGTTTTTATGGGATTCTTGTGTGTACAGATGTGTGTATATGTTTCTTGTGCTTTTTCTTTGGCTCTTTTTCTTCTGTTTATTTTGTCCTATTCCAGTTTGTTTGTCTTTGTTTTCTTTATTACCATCCTTTAGATGCTTGTTTTCTAAGGAAAGTCACAAAGGGTGTGGATTCAGATAAGAGATTTGGGAAGGGGAAATAGTAATCAGAATATATTGTATGAAGAAAATCTGTTTTCAATAAAGAAAAAATAGTTTTAAAATGTTTTAAAAACAGTCACAAAGTTGTTTTCATTTACTTTGTGCCAATTTTTTTGATCTCTTTTTGAAAGAGAAAGCCTTAATTCTATGAAATGTCATAGTAGTCACCTTCTGTAACCTTTGCAAAGAAAAGATTTTCTTCCTCTGAGAGCGCAGAGCAAAGCATGATGTGAAAGTATGGCTCCTCATACCCCACCCTTTGATTGTTGGGGACCAAGTGATGATGGGAAAGCCTGTCTCTCCATATGTGACTGTCATGCTGGGACTCCAGTGACAAGGATTGCAGGCACTGCTGTTTCTGTCGAGTCTTTTCTAACTGTAAACGTTACTTGATCCCAGATTTTCTAAGATAACTTCTGTGTATGCATCACCTGAATGGTAACAGTTATTTTTCTTCTTTTTTAATGACGGCAGGCAGGTGGTGACAGTGAGGTCACAGGGAACAGATGATCTGCTAATGCAGTGCACCAGCGGTTGGAGTGTTGGAGCTGATGATGCAGTGTCCTCTTCAGGCCAGCATCCTCAGATGACAATGAGACCTAGAAGTCGGAGACGGAAACGGGGGTGCCAGGATCTACATGTGGTAATCCACTGTGTGGTTCTGAGTGGATTTGCCATAACAAGTACATTATTTATGCCTGATAATCATATGATGCTGGTCTTTATAACTAATCATTAATCTTCTGCACTTGATTTTATTTTCTATAAACTTTACCTATGGATGGAAGAAGGAAGACTTCCTCACATGACAGATCTGACTTTGAAATATTGAACCAAGGAAAAAAAAACTGGAAAGTATGTTGAGAAGTACGCCCAATTGCTGCCCTGCCTAATTCTGTTCAGGAGACAATGAAGTAGCTTTTTAAAGCTGGAACTGTAAAGACTCCTGAGTACACTTCCAGCCACAAGTCAGCATTGCCATTTTTAGCAAGTGTGTAGAAGGAAAGGAGGGCATTTCTTTCCATGCTGACGGAACTATGTGGTTGTACATTTCCAGCGCCCTCTACTTGTAAACTTTAAACCATACGGATAAACCATAGTGTGGCCATGTCCCCATTGTGCTGGAGTTTGTATCAATAGTTAAGATGTTAAAACTGCACTCTTTTTTTGCCTACTTTCTCATAACTGATATCTGTGGGACTAGCTGTATTTCTTGTTTTTTTTGTATTGTTTAGCTCTATAAAATGGCCCCAGAAAATCTCCAAATAGTGTCTCTAACTACAACAAAGGAGAATTGTATGGTTCCTTAAATTCACACTAAATTTGATTTAGAACAGTTTTAGTGTGAATGTTTTCATGTCTCAGTTTATTTGAAACTCAATATTCAAAGCTCTCTAGTAGAACCAACTTATTAAATGTTACTTTAGTGTGCAGTAAAGTGTTCAGTTAAGCAACTGTTTAAGAATGAGACTTCATTTTGAAATTCGTTATGAATCATAAAGCAAAAGTCATAGTTTTTCAGAGACATGGTCTCAGATATTTTTCGTCCAGTATGTCAGAATAGAATTTATAATACAAACAAAGTTTGCTTTAATTAAAAGACTTTTTTTTTTGCTGCAAGTCCCATCTGTTCTCAGAAAGCATCAGGTAGAGTTTGCATTAGTAGAAGAAGGAGGCTTCTACTAACTCTGTAAAAGTCTGTTCTCAACTAGAAGTGGTGGTTTTCCAAACATACTTTGTGTCGTATGAAGGGATAAGAAGGATATAGTTGAGGACGGGTGATTTACCCTCAGCTCTAGAACCAGTAGAGAAACCCTAATTTTAGTGCTTGTCTTACATTCTTGTATTAATTACTAGACTATGTTAGTCATGTCTCCAAAGAAAACAGGAGCCGACAAGTCAGTTAATGAATGAAACATCTGATTTTAATGGGATTTTCATGTTTCCTCTCCATCTCTTCTATGAGTGCCGTGAACAAGTTCTTCCTTCCTGATAGTTTGTCTTCCATGCATATTGAGTTTATATATTTATCGTGTATACCTGCTGTTACATGAAAACAACTTTCAACTTTAAGTGCGGCCGTTATGTGGTATCCATGTTTATTGATCATGCACCACATATTCACTGCAGTCCCTACAGAGTATTTATGATATATATTATGTACTGTCTTTTATTATAATATTATACAAAATTCTTTTCCTTTTACCCATGAGTGCCATCTGTTTGTTTTTTGGTTTGTTTGGGTTTTTTCTTCTTGAGTCAAAGAATAAAGTTTAATCCCTTTCCTCTACCTTGCCCTCTGTTGGTGTAAGTAGGAAATGAATTGTTCAAATCTCTGCAATTAGAATTTCAGAAGTAGGGGATATTGGTCACTTGACTTAATAAAGATTACATATATAATAAATTTGTCTATTTTCTAATTAAAAGCAATTAAGTTTTCCCTTTATTAGAATATTAGTAATAGCCTAGATTATGAAAATGTCTGTATGTGTGGGATGGGGCACACAATGAAACAAGCCTGCTTATGACAGCAAGTGCTTGTAACCAACCAGTAGCAGTGCTTGAGGCTGTCACTCGGGTATCTTACTCCTCAGATCCCTTAGAAGCTACAACATGAGACAGTTGAAGGGCAAGTACCGTCAGGACAGTGGATAGTGTGGCTGAGGAAGACTGGAAAGGGAGGTGTACAGAGGATGTGTTGTCAAGTTGACTAGCACTACAGGCTATTAGAACTGTAGTTTCTTTTTTGCTACTCTGGGAAACACTAAAATACACAGTTGAGACATACCCCGTTTGAGGACGTGGGTTTCAGAGCTGTTCTGGGGAGAATGGCATCTATTTCATGCAGTAAACAGCAGCCCTTGGTGACTTGTGATCAAGAAAAGAGCTGTAGCTGAACATGATGGCACCTGACTGCAGTTCCAGCACCTGGGAGGTAGAGGCAGAAGGGTCAACAGTGTAGGGGCAGTCTGGGCTACGAGACTGGCTGAAAAAAAAAGTAGAAAAAGCCGTAGCTGAAGAAGGGTAGATACAGACTTAGGTGTGTGGCACAAATGATTTGGACACAGTGCCACGTTATCTTTTAGGTGTAGCAGTCACAGTTCAGCCTCCTAGAATTCTGTGCACTTGGAACTGCCTGGCTTTATAGTCCACCCAGAGCCCACGGAGGAGCTGGAAGGAAGCAAGGTGAGGACACTGCTGAGGTTCTGCCCCGACAGTGTTGAGTAGCCATACGATCGCGTCAGGACACCTGGGTCACATGAGTCCTCCTTTGTCATCTTTAAGTTTGGAAGATGAATCCATACCTTGCCTTTCCTGTGGTGTGTATGGTCAAACTGAGCTTTACACAGCAGAGAGAGGGAGGTAATAGGTTTTTAACAAAGCACCTTGCTCCACAACAGAGTGTTCTCTGTTGAATAAACAAGAAGAAAAACACTTCTGAGCAATTTTAAGTTTTCAAAGGTAAATTAAAGGGACAGATATTGTCCAGTGATAACTAAAAGCTTTAAAGACTCTTCTAAGTCATGACACACACATATTTCACAACTGCAATTTTGGACTCCCCCTTCCTCATGTTATGTCATGAATGTGCCATATGTTACTGTGCATAATATACAAAGTATATAATGTGCAAAGTACATAATATAAGTTGTATTATATGACTGATTGTGTCCACATTTTAATAATAAATTATGAATGTATAATTTATAAGAAATAAAACACGTTAACCTCATTCCTGGTATTGAACAATTAGTGTGGTTCTTTTTTTTTTTTTTCTTTTTTCATTCTCCAGACTTGGTTTTGTTCACTAGAAATAGATATTAAAATGGCAACCCCAGCTTGCTTCTTAGGTGCATTGCTTGTAATATTTTCCAACCTTTTACCCTGAAGTAATGTCTGTCTTTGATGTTGAGGTGTATTTCTTTGCAGCAGAAGGATGGATCTTCACTTTGCAGGTGATAGACATAGACTGTTGACCTTGAGAGGATGTGAGTTAGCTCTCCACCCAGGAACCGTTAACATCGCACAGTAATAGCACGCACATCCATGAGAACCCTGAGTGCAAGCTTACATTACATAGGTGGGACAGCCACTGCAATTTTCTGTATTGAATCCTGGATAATAGTTTCTCCTAAAAATTCATACTGCAAAGCCTGTAACAAAGGAGGTCAAAACAAGGTAAACCTCTCAAATGTCATTTCCAGAGGATTATCACAATTACATAACCTTAGCCTCAGTTATTTCTGTTACTTTAAAAACATCCAAGTTTCACCTTCACACTCCTTCTCAGCAACAGAACTAAAGTTATTTTCTCTGATAATAAAGAGACCTAGGACCAGATGACCATGAAGGGCATTGATGACCCCAGAGCCCTTTTCCTTCCCCACTCAACTCAAATTTGTAACCCATGGCACTGAAAGTGATAAATAATGCTCAGCGAACATTGCTGATTGATAATAACATCCTCATATTTTCACCAACACTTGTAATTATAGAGTCAGAAGCACAGTATTTTTTGGAGAAGACTAGCTTGCTAAAATCAATATGATACAAGTATTAAACAGTATTTTGTTCAGATTTCCTGTTAATATAAACTATTTTAGTTTCCCACCCCTCTCATCTTTTTAATGAAACCTATTTTGTGGCCAGAAGCACTTTTTAAAGCTTTTAGGCTTTATGTGACTATAAATTGCCCCACATTGGAAGCCATTTTGTAACTGGAAACTGTACTTTTGTTCCCACATGCCTCGACCCAAATAATCACACAGAAAATATGTTAATTATAATACTGATTGGCCGGTGTACTTTTAGCTGCCTCTTATATCTTCAGTTAACCCATTTTTTTTTATTAGTCTACATATCGCCATGTGGCTGTGGTGTTACCACATTTTCTGCATGCCTTGTTTCCTCTGTGGTTGGCTGTAGTCTGACCTGACTGCCTTCTTTTTCTCTGTATCTCTGTTCAGATATCCCTCGTGGCTTTACTCTGCTAAGCCATTGGGCAAATATCTTTATTCATTAACCAATAAATGACAAAAACAAAAACCAGGACATCCCACATCACAAGTCCCTGGAGGGGAGCTGTCTTTAGTCTGTAAACACCTGGAGTACAGGAGAAAGCTATGGTTGACACTTTCTGCACAACTGTCAACACTTACTACACTCAAAAGTGGCTTTGCTGTCCCTCTGAACCCAAGGCCCTGTCAACACATATTCACTCAGTATGTCACTCACTCATGGTTTCCTCCACTCCCCACACATCACTGTCTTATTACTTGGAAAACCTTAACTATCAAGACTAAACCCCAAACTTTATCTATGTGCAGTGAAAGATTAAGGAGTAGAGTTCTTTCTCTGTATGCGTAGGAGGTTGATTCCAAGACTACCTTCCAAATCCCTGCCCCTACACGCACCAAAACCTGGTCATTTTTGTCTCTTAATTCTACAATAGCATTTTCTGAAAACAATCTAAACCATACATCTATTTCAGATCATTTATAGAATGCCCAGAATAGCTAATGCACTGTAAGTAGTGTGTAGTCTTATGAAACAATGACACCTATTCAGCTTTGTCAAGTTTTGGTCTATAGTCAATTGAACCTTCAGATTTAGAACCTGAAGACATGGAGAGCAGACTGCCTTACGCTGAGCTGACTATACTTATACCACTGCCATGTCCCATAATACACCTGGCTATATGGGGACACAGTAGCTCATCCATGGATATCACATTCCCCTCTCTACTGCCACACAATATTTGTTATTTACAATGGTTTGCATTCTATATCCATGACTTAAGTGTTAGCCCAAATTGGTCCTCCAAAATGGTGGTGCTACTGACAATGTTGTAAACGACAGTCTGAACTCAACTCAGACTGGACCCGAACTGGGTAAACAGAAAAATTGCTAGCAGATAAAAGCCTAAAATCAGCATTCCTCAGAAACTTGTGAAGTGGGTTTCTCCTTGAAAGAACTGTTCCATCCCTTATTGCTGACAGAGGTTTATGTCCCACCTGGTCCCACAACTGTTCAGTTCCAAAGAAACACGCAGTCTGAGGACAGGATCTCTTCTTTCAATGAGCATTGGTAGAGGTAAGAGAACTTTCTAGTGACTTACTGCTCTGCTTCTCTGATCCTTCAGCTTTCATCACCAAATATCTCTGTTTTTTTTAAATAATTGAGACCAAGTAGAATTTATGTTACATCACCCAATGTATGCATCACTATATACAAGTCAACAAGCTGTCAGCTCTGTCCTCAAGATGTCTGTTTACATGGGCAGCACAAATTGTAGTGTCCTAGTTGAGCTCCTGTTTGTTCAGACACTGGATGCCTGGAGTCAGCTCTGTGCTTTGGAGCAATCTGCCTTCTGAATCATCTATCTTGAATGACACTGTACCTTGAACCAACTGAGTATTTACTGACCACCCTGTTCCAGAACAGCTCTCTCTGCTGCATGTGTATCAGCTCTGTTTTCCCTTCCACAACTCTGCTTTAACCCTTGCATCACTGTAAGCCTTTATGGGTGACACTGTGTATCGTTATGTTCAATGCAGTGTGTGATCTGAGATACATTATTGGTCACTAGGATTTGTTGCAGCTCTCTTGGCATGGATATATGGGTACACACTGCTCTTTGAAGTGAAGAATCAGAGGCACCTTAAGAATGAATTTAACCTTTCTTGTATGTGGGGCAGGTTAGCTCCTTAGGACTGAACATTCTGGGCTCAATCATCCCCTGACCCTTTTCCCTTAGGGCTGCTTTAATGTTCTCCAGTTTATACCTAACAAAGAGATTTCCATATCCTCCAGACATTCTAAGGAAGCTTCCAAAGGGGCATTGCAAAATACAAATGCCCTATTCAAGAGGTCTTTACAGTTTCTTGAATTGCCTGGTGATAGAAAGCTAATCCTTTTCCTCAAGAATAACACAGATTCTGGCAGATGTGTTTAGCATGTTTTGTTTTTCCGCCTTTTCTGGAGTTGGCCCTGCACTTGGGAGGTTTAATGGCTGATGGCAGGAGGGAAGCTGGGAAGGCATTGGGTCAGCTTCAATGCTGCTGTCCCTCAACCCTGGCTCCTTTGGTTGTCATCAGAGCTCTTCACACAACTGCTCCCAGATGTCTGTCTGCTTTAAGGATGCTCCTGGAGGAGGCTTGCCTGAGCAGCTGGACCATCACAGGCAGCAGCTCACCACCCAAGATGTCAGCTCTTAGAAAGGAAATCTGACTGTGTTGACGATGGCATTTTAAACTGTTTCATGTTTCACATGCTCAGTTCACTAACGGTCAGACACTTACAACTTGTGGAGTGGACATTTAAATTTCATTTATATTGTTTTTCCTTGGAAATCTTGAGCTTCTTTACTACTGATTTGGTGTTTCTAATTATTGTCATTTTGAAATTTATGACTTTTTAGAGTTTTACTTATTTTCTTTTTAAAAAATATGTTTAGTATTGTGTGTTTACATCCAGGATGCCCTTGAAGAACTGAGGGGACAAATTGTGGCGTCAGTTCTCTCTTCCACCTCTGCGTGGGTTCCAGAGACAGAGCTGGGCCACCAGGCTGGCACTGCTGGAGCCTTTAGAGCACTCCCCCACTGAGCTATCTCACTATCCCTACCTATTCTTCTCTAATTGCTTCTTTTAAAAACTGCTTTTAGATGAAGACTTTCCTTTTAGAAGAAGTGTTAAAAACATTCAAGCTCTTCACTGAGGAAATCTGGGGAATTTCCCTGAGAGAAACATGTTTGCAGCTGTCCTGAGTTGTGTAACTTCCCTTAGTTGGAGCCTTAGGTTTGCTGTGACTTTTCTGTCCCAAGGAAGCTGAAAACAGTTTAAAGGGAAGGAAAATGTAAAAGCTATTCACATGAAGAGGACTGCTTTCCCTCAGTCAGCAGTCAGCCCTGGCCTTCCTGCCCTCCAGCACCTTGGCTGAGTTAACAGGGCTTTGAGTTCTTTGCTTTCAGTTTCATTTCTGCAGCACCATGTGATTTTTTTGCAGTGCCTGTGTGTGTGTGTGTGTGTGTGTGTGTGTGTGTGTGTGTGTGTGTGGTGGGTTGGCTTATAAGAAGAGCAGCATAGGAAGCCAGAGACAGGAAAGCAAAGGCAAGACAGAGGCAGCTGAGAACTGTTCTTGCACCTGTGAAGGGGGACCAGCTATATTTACTTTTTCTTCCTTTAAGAAGCAACTGACTCTGGAAGCTGAAGTTAATTTCCATTTCCAAGAGGCAACTGAAGGACATTCAGAAAGGCAGGTATGTTTTATCTGGTCTGCAGGGGTGTGACTGGCTTTAGGTGTAAGAAGCTCAGTTTCTTTCTTTTGACAAGAAACAGAGTCTAAGTGGTAGCCTGACACTCCAGTCCCCCTGCCCTGGCAACGTCAGCTCAGGTCACTGACAAGGGCTATATGCACTTTGTCATGCTATTAATTTTATTCTCATATATGGGAGAAGGTTGAAAAGAACCTGTGACATCACCTGTTATCTAAATGTTCGTGATTCTGCACATTCTCCTTCCTCAGCATAATATCCTCAGGCTCGTCTGTGTGGCAGTGTGCAGTAGAATTTTACTTTTTCTTTGGAAGAATAATATTCTATCGTGTGGGCCATCACACTCGGTGAATCTACATATCTGTGGATGGTCTGTTGATGAGAGATTGGGTTAGAGTCACATTTTGACTCTAACCTGATCATTGGTCTTCAAATGTGTCCAAATCCTTATCTGTGTGTT